GTTTGCACATTTTGCTTTTTTCTCATCAATCCATATTATGTTTCATACGCATTTTATATTGCTTTTCCTTTGTATCTTGGATGTTCATCAAGTTTACGGAATATGCGCAAAGCATAGTTGACAGTAATGACAGTTGACCCAACTTTTACCACTACGGCATGACAATGGACTGTTGCCAGATTTCATCCATAATTTTACAAGCTCTTAATAAATAAATAGACACTTTTAATCAAATAAAAAGTTAATTGCCGTGCATTAAACACGAAAAATATATGCAAGTTAATATGTGTTGTATAAATTTCATTCGTATATATTATATTTAGTTCGCTCAAATTAGTTTATGTAAGGTTGGTACTACAACGAAACTATCGTGTATAAGCATAGGCTTTTCTCCCGCACCGCCTGCCCCGTAAGAGATATAACGAACGTCCTTAAAAGGTAACCTGTAACAATCAACGAAAACATAGAAATATTGGGGGTGATAGTCGGGCAGGACGACTATAAAGGGAGCCTATGTTCAGAGTTTAAGAATGCAAATGAATGAAGTATAAATAGACAATGCGTTCTTTGTTGCTTGTATGTCGATTGGATGCCCTGGCCAGGCGTCTGCCCCGACGTACCGGTGATAAAGCGTATTGCGGGCGTGGTATACAGATTGTGTAACAGAAGTATAGATCTATCAAATGACGAATTGCAAAGCACAGCACATCTTTTCATATTCATGCTGACTAAATGATTATCTTGAACTTGACATCAGATCCTCAACAATAAATGTTTGAAACAGTACATTGCCGCTAAGTTCCGTTTCTAGGTCAGGGCCAAGGAATTCCCGAGGACGGGAATATACAGGATGGCCGAAATGTTATGAAGAGCAGGAAAGACAGACCGAGCGACGGTGGCTGGAACGCCCAGGCCAGTGTGCGTGTCCCGAAACGCTGAATAAACTGATTGTTCATAATTTTATAAACATTTATTATTTATATAAACAAGGTAGTTGGATACAGGAATAGAAACGAAAGATAAGTTAGAATTAGAGAGTTGAATAACGAACAATAATAATTGAGAATGTACATTTTACTTTGATTAAAGGAAATTATTGGCAATAATTATTTTTGTTGATAACAAAATTATGTCAAACCTTTGATAAACAACGAGAAACAAGTCTTTATTGTTAAAATTTGATCAAATACAAATTGATATAAAAAACGGGACTGCATATGTAACATGTCCTGAATGCGGTTTTGTTTATAAAACATATACGAGGGTTACAAATCGAATACCGGCATGGGTATTATCCAACTTTAATAAACATTTTAAAAGCAAACACTTTGCAACAAAACAAAGCGAGCATACAAATCCACAAAAGAGAAATTCTAGTATTTTGTCATATGTAGTTTTGCAGTTAAATCAAAGTAGCAATAAAGTTCACAATGAAGACAGCTCATTGAATAGTTCATCTCCAATTCTATCTAGCTCTACCTCTGAAACACTAAATAGTACTGATATAAAGCCTGCGAATGCAATTATATCCTACGAAAATATACTTATTTTCAATGAAGCAGTTAATAAAAATATAGATGTCATTATTTCTAATGTATCCTTTATCACCTCAAAAAACAATTATGTGCAAAATATTCCAGACGAGAACGACTGCAAAGAAAAAGAAATTTAAGTTTTGATGAAACTCAACTGAAAATTACGGATGATTTTGATATTTGCAACGAAATATAAAATTACTTTATTGTTAATGATCCATTATTTTTCAAAACAGGTCAATGCAATCCTACAATTAATATCCAATATGGAAGAAATAGAGGATCCATCTAATGAGATTTCTAGCTTTTTTACAATGTTTAAAGAAATTCTAAAACAAAATCAAAAGCTTATAATCGTTATTCCTAGGACTAAGAAATTATGTTTATATGTTTTCCTTTATATCTGGGCTCTTAGCTTACAAAGCCCTGTGTTCAAATATATCCAACGCTCTGTCATCGATCACTACGCTTTACAGAACTTTTGATAATTTTACAAAAACTTTTGAGAACCAAATCAAATTCGATAAACTCAAAAATTTTCTTATAAAACGCAATTATCCGGTTAAAGTTTTTCTATCCGAAGATCAAACCGCCATTGTTAAGAGTACGGTACAATCTACAAAATAATCAAATCGTTGTCAAATTATGCTTATATATTTATTGCACAACCATTGGTCGACCATGCACCAGCATTCTGTCTAGTTACGTTTGACTCTGATAATCGATTAACAGCAGATGAAGTTCTGAAAAGATGGTACTTTTTAGAACGTGAAACAAAATTTCATAACATTTCAATTAAAGGTTTCTCATCAAATGCAGATACAAGATGCAATGAAGATAAAGGTTAATTTTCCATCATTAAATTCAATACCTTCGCCATATTTTCCATTTTTTTTTTCAGGTAAATTTTGCTGAATACTTTCAGTGTACTTAACATTTTTTTCAATGTTCTTAACAACATTTTTTGTTAATGTTTACTTTTAGCCCGATTTTTGTCCTGACAAACCAATTACAGTGCAAGATACAGTGCATATTAGTACAAAAATAAAAACCAGATTACTTAATTCCAATGTACAAATGCAAATGGGCAACTATGTGGTTTCTAAATCCCATTTAGAAATAATTATTCGGGAATATCCCAAATATGCACATTTTCGATTTTCCAGCTATTTAGATAGTAAGTTAATATTTAATTTATTAAATTGCTCTCTATGTATGTTTATTTTCAGGTTCGGATAAAATGAATTTTAATGCTATTGATAAAATGTCCTCGTTATGAGTAATTGACATCCTTAAAGATATACCGGAAGCAAAAGCCACTGGACAACTTGTAAAATTAACAAGATATACAGGGTGTCAGAGAATAACGTGTACAATGGACGACCACAGATTCGCGGACTCAAAATAGGCAGATTTAGGCTAATTCACCTATATTCGAAATCGCTTCGTTTGGTCGCTAAATGGCCTCAAAGTTCGTGAATTTTTTTTTAATTTGTTAAATAACTTAGATACGTACTAGAAAGGTAGGCAAACTTCGCTGACGTGAAGTTTGACCTTTCTCTCGGGCCTTCCGCGGTGCTCTCCTCGCTGGTTAGTAACATTTAACATTAACGTTTAACATAACATTTTTTTAAACACCCTGTACTTTGGTTTTTACACACCCTGTATATAAAAGTTTGATGAGAATGTTTTTGAAAAAAGAGTAGGCCCCGCTGGAGAAATTAATCAGAAAAGTTTCTTCCAAACTTTCAAAAAAGGCATATGGTTAGTAAATATAAAATGTTTCATCCAAAGACTATGTAGGTAAGGCAGAAATGGTAAAATAATAAGTTAAAATATCTGCTTAATAAATATACAAATTTTCATTAAAAGACTGTAGTAAATAAAGACAAACACAAAACTGCCCTTAATTCTTTAGAACATCTAGTATATGGATTTTTAAAAGAGCGACATTTCTTTAAATGATTTTAAAAAAATTAAAAAAAATGAATAAGGAAAAATCTAATCCACCTGTGTAAGTTTTACCAAACATCCTGTACATAAATTGCAAAAAACACCTGGTTGGTAGTGTATAAGATTTTTCATAAAAATATTGCAGACTTCAGTACAAAATGTGAAATTGGTAAGAACAATAGGGCAAGTTTCGTTCTATTCATAATTTTAATCTGCATCAGGATTGTGGAACACCCAGTATAAAGATTCAAAACGACATCCGGTTAATAAATACCTATACAATTTTTTATTAAAAGATTTTAGTAAATAAAAACAAAGTTAAAAGTGAAAAGGGAAAAAACTGTCCGTTTCGGATGTGGGTCAATTTTGTGGATCACCCAGTACATATATGGATTTTCTAAAAAGCGGCTGTTCAATAAATATACAACTTTTCTTCAAAAGATTTAATGAAAAAATTAACAAAATGGATAAGAGAAAATCTGGTGCACCTGTGTCAGTTTTATGAAACATCCTGTACATAAATTGCAAAAAACATTTGGTTAATAAGGCACCGTGTGTAGAAATATGTATTTGAAAATTTAAGTAGATAGTGGACATGAGAAAAAAATCCTAGTCCGCCTGTCATTTTTATGAAACACTCAGTATATAAATTTGCAAAATGCCTCTGAGTTCTACAATATAAGATTTTTCATAAAAATATTGCCACAATAAATTTCTGAAATATACAGAAGCCTCTCTAGACCGATAATTTTGACTTGGGTCAGTTATGTAGAACATGCAGTATATGCATTTTCAAAAAAAACCTTTGGTTAGTAACTATATAACTTTTCATGAAAAGATTTAAAAAAAATAGAGAAAGTGAAAAGATAAGTAAAATCAAAGTTCACCTGTGTCATTTTTATGAAATATTCGGTATATACCTTTGCAAAAAGCATATGATTACTACGATATAAGATTTTTCATAAAAATATTGCAATTAATAAATTTTTTAAATATATAGAAGCCTTTTGCACCGTTTCTACTTCGATGTAATTTCTGTGGACATCCTGTGTATGAAAATCTATTTGAAAATTGATATTTTTTTCTTCTTAAAATGAATATTCCATAATAAAAGTAAAATGTGGAAATAAGTAAAGGAATATATTTCGGACCCCATTGGTAATTGAATTATTGTAGACCTTAATAATAGAACGTAAATTTTACCGCTAAATAATCACCTCTCAGTCTATTTTTGTATTGACATGTTGGTACTTTTAAAACATGGACTTTTTGAATTGTCTCATCTCTAATAAATTTAATTGTCAGTGGGTTAATTCAATATGTCAACAGTTTACCAATTGGTAAAGGAAGCGCTCCTGAGGGCCATTCGATTTGGCAAAAAATAGTAACTATTAGTAGCTAATAGCCAAGAATCGTATATAACAGGATAGCTTAATGCCATAGAACAACGCTAGCCTGTCGGACATATCTGCGGACGGAATACTGAACGGTTGTGACTGTCCATCCAATTATCTTGTATCCATCAGTGGTCAGTGCAGATTTGCTGAGCCCTTTTCTTTTACTCATGATTTCGGAATCATAACGTGTTAGGATCCGATGGAAACCAATCAGATTGCTAGATTTCGGATTGTAACGCGTTATGATTCCGAAATCATGAGAAGAAAACAGCTCTGGTTCCATACGTTTTGTGCTTGTAACTTTCAGTCGAAGATAACCCAAAAACAAAGAAAAAAAAGAAGGGTTATAAACCCATGTTTGTATTAAAAGAGTAAAACAAAACATATTATTAACGTCAAAAGGAAAAGGTAATCAACAGTATGGTATTTTGTGAATATCTCACAGAATAAAAGGTGCAATACTTATTGAACTAATAAATTATTTTTAGGAATTAATTACCTACCTAATATGAATTAGTGGAAATTTAAATGAAATGAAGAATGAAGCGTTTCATATGAATAAAAATAATTTGTGATAATTAAAAAACAGCTTCAGTAAGTTCTTACTACGTAGCTATTATTTTAAGAAAGATATGAGTTGGAAAAGTACAGTGCTGTTTAACTAAATGGATATACCTCTACCCCTTTGTATTATTTGTATAACTTATGCGATGAATAGACTTTAGTGTGAAGACTATATATAAAAAACATCTATAATCTATCCAGTGATAATATTTCTCAAAATTGGCTGGCTTGGGTTTCTGCTTGAGTGTTTATAACTGAAGCAAATAAATTGGAAGACATATGATATACAGGGCGATCTATCGAACACCATGTAAAAGCATCATCACAAACCAAAGAAATTAGTATGGATACGTAGAAGGTGGTAGGCAGAAGGTGGTTCAGTTATAAAGTACCATGTGTACAAACTTTTCATAACAGCCTTTATGTTTCAGGTTCACTAAATTGCAGTAACATGAATAAACCCTGCAAATCTAGTGTACATTTTGTAGTCACTATCTATAATTATTTATATTAATAATATGATAACGTTTCCTAAATAATATGGGCGAGACTGGATAACCTATAAAGGTGGTGCGGAAATAATTGGAATATGTGTAGCTTATAGCTCTCAAACACAGGAAAATTATATTTTTCCATAACTCCTTACAGCCCCTCGAAGTTTCCCAAGGATTATGAAACAGTGACTGTAATTTGAAAATGAAAAAGCTATTATAGTCAAATTTTACACAAATCTGTAACTAATACATGTACAACCTCAACAATTTTTTAAAAATGTATGTTCTTAGAAGGGGGTTGAAATGAGTTATATTTTGCCAACTTTTTTATTTGATAGTAATTAAATATTCAAAAGTACTTGTCAGATAACCTTGTTTAATTAAGAAACTCTCACATTTTTACCTGAAAATGAGTCGTTTATTAAGGAGAAAAATAAATTTATTAAGTACGATTTGAAATACAATATGTTTCTAAAAAGTTCTAGAAATTCAGTCATAGATTTAAAATTTTTTGAGATCATAGCATATAATAAATTTGAAATTTTCTCAGTAGTGTTGTAATTTTGTGGCTCTTTATGAATCCTATATGTTCAAGTACGATTTTAAATACAATATGTTCCTAAAAAGTTCTAGAAATTCAGTATCATAGATTTAGAACCTTTTGAAATCATAGCATATAAGTAGGGAAAATTTGTACCACTGAAAGTTATTAAAGATTACTTCGAGTTATCGATATTGCACATACAAAAAAATCTTGTTTTTTTTTGTGAAACAAACAATATCGGTTCTTTTCACTGTATGTATTGATAGAGAGACATATTCAGTACATATTTCTTTATTTGGCTATAATACATTCAGAAAAAATGTTTTTTTTATCGAACCAAAAAATATATTTGAGATGAAAGCACCATGTACCTACATTATTTATATTGTTGAATAGTAAATGAAAATGTTTGTCATTTTAACTACAAAATAATTTTTAAATTAGTGTGAGTTGAGGAAATGATATCTTGAAATATTAAATAAAATTGGCATTAATAAATATTTCTGTTAATACATTTATTAATTCAATAATGTTTTGTAAACTCTACTCAATGACACAAACATTTTTCGTAGAACCACAGTACCATATTTTTAATATGAGAATAAAATCATTTAGTCAAACATATTATTAAATACGTTTTTCTTATTTCTGTAAATAAGGGGAAAAAAATTGGAGAATGTGTGAAATAGCCCCGATTACTTATGTCTGCAGGTATTAAAAAAATGGAAATGTAGAAAAAATATTGAAGACTAGATTATATAAGGTTGCGACAAAAAAATGGCCTTTTCTTATCGAACCTAAATATATGTTTGAGATGAAAGCACCGTCTGTACATTATTTAGTGTTTGAATTGTAAATGAAAATGTTTGTGAGACGTTGTTTGAACTATAAATTTTTTTTTTAATTGGTGAGTTGAAGAAATGTTATCTTGAAATATTAAATAAAATTGGCAACAATAAATATTTGTGTTAATATCCATTTACTAATTTAAAAATAACATTCGTCATAGAAGAGTATTAAACAAATAATATCAATTTATGAAATATAATCTTTATTGGAAAATTACAGCACCGAGACAGGTTTACTTACATGTTCAGTTACTAAAGAAAATGCAAACAAAATCTTTGAAAACTTTATCTTAATTTAACACACTTTCATTTTCCCATAAGATTCTCACGTTGTACTCCCCACTTTTTACTTTATCACTAAATACAGGGAGTCCAAGTACTTGGCAAAAACAGCAACATTTAGGGAAGCACTGCCTGGGTTCTTGTTCTTGTATACCGACTGGAATGGGGTTGAAATTTAACATCTTCAGCTAAACTGCCATCGTTACGTATACAGTAGTCATTAGTGAAAAATTGTTGTTAGGTTACAATGTATTTAATGTAACATATACAGGTGAAAAATCATATTTATGTTATAAGTCTTTTACTGTTGGCCCAGAATTTTATAACTTCTTTTACAATGTAACTGGGAAGCTTACTTATTCTTTAATAACTCTGGGTCTAGGGAATGTAGTCTTGAAGTTTTAAATGCCAGTGCCAGTGTTAAATAAAATACTAAAACTCATGTGTATTCGGCCGTGTTATGTAAAATATTAGAACATAGTAACAGCCGGGGCCACGTAATTATATCTTCGAAGAAGGGCCTCTGGAAAGCACACTTCATACCATATATTTCTTTTAAGAACAGTCAAACTTTTGTTAAGTATATTGATTTGTGTATAGACACGTATATATATTTGTTTATGTGACTGTGAAACACTTCCAGAATATTTAAGATAATAGTATAGTTTACTGTTTTTTTTGTAGTTCCAATTTCCTCCTGTGTCTAGATTATATTGTACTACTAAAAAGTTACTGTGGTAGAGACGATAGAAAATCTTCGACAGTGGTCTTTCACAATTTTATAAGTTGCACTCGCGAAGTTCACTCGGTTTTTAATCACTGTAATAACTGGTGGCTTCTGGGGTTGATGTTGATGGGTTCTGTATATTCACATAGCAGGTATATGTTCGCTGGAGTAGTAGCCAAACTTGGAGATGGTAGGTACTGTCTGGATGTCAAGGTTCGATTTACAGATCGCAAAATTAACAGGATCGATTATGCACGATCGGAACAGTAGAGTCTTCAAGGTTGGTTTGGTTGGTTGGCGCTGTCATCGGGTGTCAGGAACTCGCAAAATTTTTTATTTAAGGGTTTAATACCATCGCTTATGACCCTCTGGGGCTACTGTGAGGGCCGAATATAATTTTTCGCGGAAAGGGAAAGGTATCGTGACGTCACTCGTGAAGAATTCGGCCGCGAAAACTCCGCGAACGTCTCGTTAGAGCCGCGGAAAGTTCGTTCTCTTTTCACCTGACTAAAGAGACGCCCATGGCCGAATGCACAAATTTTATATCGCTAATGCCGGTCTTAAATTTAGTTACATTTGACCTAAAAAAAGTTGACGGAGATATGAAAGAGTGAGATCGTCGCGACGCGCCGTCGAAGAGGCGTCTCGGGGGGCCAAATGGGGCTTGGTGGGTCCTCGGGCGCGGTCCGTACGTCCAGAGAAAGGCCAGGGCTTCGTGCTCGCGCAGGAAGCGGAGGGCCCCAGAGCGAGGAAAAAAAATTATGCCGTCGCGAAAACGGCGTTTTCGGCGAGATAAACCGGGCAATAGCAAAAAGACGGGTATTTCGAGGGATTTGACGATGCAGAGCCTTTTTGAAGAGCAAATTTCGGCGCTGCGGAGTGGAAAATTCGCCGCGAAATTACGCCTAAAGGAGGTGTGTGGTGCAACTTTGTACTGGTAATTAAAAGACATGTACCTCGAAATGGCGTGAATGTAAAAGTAAAATAAGATATTTCGCGCACGGAAGTCTTTAAACTTTAGCGCCAGTTCTTTTTGACGTATCACAATTAAACTTGCACGGTTTTGTAAAGGGTTTACCGTTTGCCTTGAAATTGAAACATGCAATTTTAGGGGTACTTACATCAATGCGGGGACAGCTAGCATGTCAAACTTATGTAGAGCGGTAGTTATGAAAAAATGTAAATAATATCGTGACAATAACGTAATACCTATACATATCGGGGCGTAGCTACGCATTAACGTTTAAGAAAGGCCTGGGAAGGTAAAATAACGACGTTCCGCTACCCTACAAACGGCTTTGACGTTTGGCGTGAAATTATTTTGACATAATTAATCTGACGTTCCAATTTTCTCCCGGTGGGCGTGTCTTAAAGCTTCAATCTTACGGCTTCCGAAATGGTCGTCTGCCGTCGAGCAGACCCCAAAAAGAAGGCAAAATTAAATATGAAAATGCGAAAAAAACGTTACAAAAATGCCCCCGAACGACTAAGGAGGAACGACTGAGTATTTGTGCCAAGTCGCACGCCGTTTCGAGGCTGGCGAAGAAGAAATTTTATGCGGCAAAATTCACCATTTTTCGGCCTTCCTAGACAGTACATTTTAACGTATTTACGGCCGCATTTCGAATCTCGCGTTTGATTTCGCGGAAATTTGTACATAAAAAGTTGGAAGAAGACGTCGAGACGCCGTTTTGTAAATACGACGGCGCGATGTAGCTAGGAAGGCGAAGCCCTCCGGGCTTCGCCGGGGATCGCTGCGCGATCCGGGGGCGAAGCCTTTGCAATCCAAAGTCGTTTTTCGGGGCGATCGTGCGACGCAGACGGAGCTATCAGATTTTAATATATATTGATTTTGATTATTTTTGGGGTGTGAATTTTTGCTTTTGATATTTTGATGTTATATAGTTTTTTTAAACTTTAAAACAACTCCTACAAAATTGATGTGTGGTGATAAAATCCGTTCATAACTTTTCCTGTTTCGGGCAATAATGACAATTATTTTTAATGTGATGGAGGTGATACCACTTGGAAGTTTTTCGGACTCTTCTAGAATTTTAATTAAATGAGCGGTTTGAGAACAAAAAATATTTTTTAAACGTCTACATTATCTTGCTACCCATATTGCAATACTTAACAAAGTGCTAGTAGGGACTGATTTTGTACGTTGACTAATTTCACTCTGATCTTTAAGTCATTGTACCTGTCAATTCTTAATGAGTATTTATTACAATAAGATATATCACATTTTTCGATATGGATACACACACATACGACGAATTATAGTTATTTACAACATGCCTAATTTTATTGAGATAATTAGTAAAAATAATCAAATACAATAAAAAATGCTGGAGATGAAAGTAATAAAGTTGATGTTATTAAATTTAGTACATTTATTATAAAAACTGACCACCGTTGTTTCTACAACAAAGGTTAATTCAGCGAAGGAAGTTAAAGGACACCCTTTGCAGTTCTTGACGGCAATTTTTTAAAATATTTATGGCAATTTGGATATGCTTCCACAACTCTTCTTCAGTGTTAGATGTGGAAACATACACTGTTGTTTTCTTAGTGCCCCAAAAATAATAGTCGCAAGGTGTTAAGTCTGGTGAATGTACAGGACAGTTAACAGGATCCATCCCTTCTACTGATCCATCGACGAGGGAATTTTTTGTTCACATACTGCCGGACATTTACAATGAAATGTGGTGGAGCTCTATCATGCATAAACCACTTGTTAGCTTTGAATAATAACGGCACACCGTCTAATAACTCGGATAGTGTTTGAGGCCATCTAGCGTCCACACTAAGCGATTTCGGATATAGGTAAATTAGCTTAGATCTGCCCATTTTCAGTCCACGAATCATTGGTCTTCCGTTATTCACACGTTATTCCGGGCCACCCTGTATTTTAAATTCTTTTCTAGATAAATCCCTTGACGTAGATCGTCGAATATATTTACTGT